GTCCCTGTTGACGAGGCTGGCCCCCGCCTCGTTGTCGTTGATCGACCCGCCAGGTGCACGACTGCTGGCGCGCTGCTCTTTGATCTTCTGCCATCTCACCTTCCAGCTCGGCACAGCCTTGGGGCCCGCCTTCTTGTCCAACCCGTCCCTATGACGCTGGCACTCAGGTGTGACATCCTCCAGCGACTCGGCATGCGCATCAAACCCAAGCAGGCCACCAATGTCTGCACGCCCGAGTGCGCTCAAGCGCCGCACAGCCAAATTCAGATGCTCCTGCAAGGGTAGGTCTTGGCGGACGATGATCATGGCGGAGGTATCGCTCATCTTGTTCTGCATCATGACCTGAAGTTCCCCAGCTATGGTCGGCAATCCCTCCTTCACGCCCTTCTTGGTGCGCCACTGCGACTTGGACATTGTCACCGTGACGCCATCTCGGGCCTGCTGCTCGAACAGGGCGGTCTTCCCATCGGCCCAGTCCTCGAGTCTCGACCAGGGAGCTTCGCGAGATGCGCCCCGCTCAATCACTCGGAGGCCCAAGAACGAGTCGCTTTCGTTCTTGGAGTGCGACCGCAGGTAGGAGCGCACCTGCACGACGATACCGCCGAACCAAGCACCGGAGAGCTCAACCGCAGTGATGTACGTGGTGCATGGCTTCCCGTGCTCGGGGCGGATGGTGGCCTGGAGCTCCACCTCGGCGGTCCTGTCAGCGGCCTGCGGGATGCGCAGCAGAGTGAACTCGCCGCCGTGGTTGACGTCGAAATGCTCGCCTTGAAGATTGACCAGGTGCGGGTCACCCTTGGCCGACACCGTCGGGGCCGGGGTCGGCAGCGGAGAGGCTGGGGGTCCAATGCAGCACCCGCCGTCTCCGAAGCCGCTGCCTAGGTAGGGATCGATAACGGTGTTGCTCCCAGCGCACTGCTCGTCACACCTGTACCCGAAATCGCAGATTTCAATGCCGCATCCGCAAGGATACTGCTCGCTGAGTCCGACACCGTTGGTGCTCGAGCAGGCCGAGACGATCGCGTCGTACTTGTTGAACCCCGCGTGCACTCCGTGGTCGAGGATAAAGAAGGGCCCACCTCTGCGGAGCAGAGACTCGTGGTATGGCGACAGCCTCTCGCTGTCATCGAAGCCGATCTTGTCGGTGATGACCAGTCTCTCGAAGTGGCCAGGGTTGCGTGTGGACATGGTGATCCCGTCGCCCTTCTGCAGCACGCGGCCGCTGTCGTCGAGGGCCTTGTTGACGAAGACGACGTCGGACCCAGTTGATATGGGCTCGGTGAGCCATACCCCCGAGATGCAGTTGTCGAAGTCGCCCAGGTCTTCTTTGCCAGGGGCGCAGTCAGTGCATGCCTCCGAGCGGCGTCGCCGAGTTGAACCAGTGGTGCACTGCTGGCAGACGCTGGTGCCCTCCAGGAAGTAGTATCCGTAGTCACACTCAGCGGGACCCCCGATTGGGAACCTAGACATGTCTTTCGAGTATGGAGAATTGCCACACTCTGCCTGGGTCACGCATCCATCCCCGTTCTCGTCCATCTCGGTAAAGTGCCCCTTGAGATTCTCGTCCTTGTTCACCTCCGCTTCCACAAGGCACTCATCACCATCCAAATCAAGGTAAGAAAACGAGCCGCACGCGTCGTCACAAACGCACGGTGCCCCGGGTTCCATCGTCGGCGACGGAGTCGGGAGGATCTCCTCGTAAGTGATCGTCACCGTCATGTTGAGGCCTTGGCCGTCGCATGCCACCAACCAAGTTGTGTTCCCCAATGGGACACCATTAGAATCTGAACTACCATGATGCCCAAAATAAGCGCAGCCCGCATCAGAATCTAAATCCATAGTTGCTGTCATGTTTGGTTCTTCAGAGTCCAGAATCCACCGCGGCTGTGCGTATTTCAGAGGCCGGTCGATGCCATCACACGAATAGTCCCAATATATGTAATTGCCGTCGGTGTTGCTGTACACTGGCGCTCCGCTTGCACTGCTCCCGTAAAACACGAAGTAAGGGCTGCCGATAGAAGTCGTCAGGCACGGCCACTCTACCTTCAGAATGCTCGGAGGAGAACACGAAAAGCCTCGCCTGTCACCTGAGCAGACCTCGTTTGTAACGCACATGTCAGGCCCGCACTGACACGGGTAGAAAGAGCTCGGAGACGATCCATCGGTGACGTCGCACGGCTCAACTGAAGACGTAGGTGCAGGAGTGGGCGCAGGGGTCGGTATCCTGTTGAAGTTGACGCTAAGGGCTCCCTGCGGGATTGGATTGGCACAGGTGGTGTTGGAGTCATGCCCATTCGTTGACCCACACTCTGCATCGTAAAGATAGCACCCGCCTTTCCAGACTGACAGGAAGGGGTGAAGACCAATGGACTTGCAGTTTGGGTACAAGGAACACTCCGAGGCACATAACTCGAGAGTCTCGAACTCTTCCGAATAGGCTTTGATCTCTGCTCCGCACTCGCAATTTTGGCCGCTTTGCACGTATCCAGGGTAGGTTGAAACGAGTAGGTCATCCAATTGGATTACTGTTGGCGCTGGAGTTCCGACCTGCTGCTCAGCTCGCTGCTGTGACTTCGGCGCTGCAGCTGCACATGGCTTGGGGCACACGCCGGAGAGCCTGGCTGTGCCGTGCAGGTGTTGCTGGAAGTCCTCGAAGCTGGAACTTCTCGTCAGAGGGCGATAGTACTCTGGGTGCTGCTGGATGCCCGTGCGCATCGCCCACATGACCTTGTCGAAACACTCGTCGCCCGTGACGCTGGTGCGGCACTCCGCTGCCTGTGCAGGCGCTTGCTCCTCTGACTTCGGCGCTGCACATGGCTTGGGGCACACGCCGGAGAGCCTGGCTGTGCCGTGCAAGTGTTGCTGGAAGTCCTCGAAGCTGGAACTTCTCGTCAGAGGAAGGTAGTACTCTGGGTGCTGCTGGATGCCCGTCCGCATCGCCCACATGACCTTGTCGAAACACTCGTCGCCCGTGACGCTGGTGCGGCACTCCGCTGCCGGTGCAGGCACTTGCTCCTCTGACTTCGGCGCTGCACATGGCTTGGGGCACACGCCGGAGAGCCTGGCTGTGCCGTGCAAGTGTTGCTGGAAGTCCTCGAAGCTGGAATTTCTCGTCAGAGGAAGGTAGTACTCTGGGTGCTGCTGGATGCCCGTCCGCATCGCCCACATGACCTTGCTGTAACACTCATCACCCTCAACCGAGGTGTGGCAACCCTGCTGCGGCATCCAGATTCCACTGCCGTGCAACACGCCAGCCGGTTGCATCTGCATAAGCTGCATGTCTGCGTGCTCGCTGGAAACAGCAGCTACAAACCCCATCATGCATAATGCCACATGGAAATCCGCCATTCGTGCTCTGGAGGTGGAAGCGGTACGCAATATGTTGATGAAAGCGCAGTTCGATATCGGCAGCTTTACGGACCTGTTCGTTTTGCTTGAGCCCAAATGGGCTTGAGCCCAAATGGCTACGGAGGGGCATATCGGTGGCATCTTGGGGCCCCTTTCGGGCCGCCCTCTTGGACTTCTTTGGGGGCTCTCTTGGAGCTCTCTCGAGGCCCCCTTCGGGCCGCCCTCTTGGACTTCTCTGGAGCCCTCTGGGGGGCTTCTCCTGGACCTCTCGAAATGGAGCATCTGGAACGGCCGTTTCAGATGCTCCGCTCTGGTTGGCTCTTGGGCCGTCCTGGGCCTTCCCGGGAGCTTAATTTGGGCCCCCCCCAGGGCAATACTGGGGCGATCTTCGGGCCATTTCGGGGCCCTCATGGGGCCCTCTTGGGGACTTTTTGGCCCTCCGAAGTGGAGCATCTGAAACGACCGTTTCAGATGCTCCACGCTAAGGGCCTGCGGGGCGCCTCGCCCAACGAGGCTGGTGACGACTCTTCAACTAATGGTATCGCGCGGATATCACTGGGAGCATCGCGTCGTTGCCTCTCTCCCTTCCGTTTTGGCCCTCATCCTCCTCTCCCCTTTGGTTCCTTCTTCTACCTCTCCCTTCCCCTCCTCCTCCTCCTCCTCCTCCAAATCCCCTTCCTCTCCCCGTTTCCTCTTCTTCCCTTTCCTCCTCGCTCGTCCCACTTTGTTTATCGTCTCCGCTCTTCCTCCCTCCGCCCCATCGCCGTCTTACATCCCACTCCATCCTCCTCCATTCCATTCCCTCCTCCGCATCTGCCCCATGCACCTGCCCTGCCCACTACTACTCTTCTTTCGGAAGACGCGGAGGGGCGCAGGATGTATACATAACTGCCCTATCAACCACACAGCGACGAAGCAATCGACGCAATAGCGCGAACAGGCGCTCGCTATCTACATGTAATATGACGGCAAGACCCACCGCCCCGCAGCACAGCGTATGGTGCTCGAAGGGCCCATTGTTAATATGTTCCTTGCGAACCTGCACCGAACCCTTCCTCCGACATACTGAACGGAACACCCACGCTTGTCTCCCCGTGACATAAATTCTGACGCTCCGCTGCTCTCTGAACATCGAGGCCCAAGACGCAACTCCCGCTGAAATTCCAGACCCCGCAGGGCCCCTCCCGCGCTGCCTTCCCGAAACGCCCCCGAAGCCCTCCAGCGTCCCCCCCCCGCTGCTCAAGACTACGCAGCGCGATAGCGAGTATGAGATGTATTGTAATTGTCCGATCGGTAACAATGATGGCACCCAGCCAGGCAAACCATGAATGGAAAGATGGGCAGAGGAGGCCGTTAGACATTTCGCCGCCCACAGGCCGCGCTGTGTGCGACGGGCCTGAGTAACGCTCGCGAGCAGCAATGTTGAAGCGCAGTGGAAGCCGAGAACGCCGAACCTCAAATTGGAAGCGGCTTTGGTTCTGGGCGGCAGCGGAACCTATTCTGCGACGGCCGGACAGACCCCCAAAGACCCCCGAGAGGAGTCCAAGAGGGGGAAAGCGAACTTACATTTGGAGACCTTTCCTCCCAAGACGGCCACCATTGAAGCATTTGGAACCGACCGGTGGTGGCGGTGGTAGCGGCGCGCGCCATTTCTCTACTGCGCTCGTGCTGGCTTGAGATGTGCGAGCATGCATGCAAAGGTCAGGACCCCAGGGCTGGCCCCACTACCCGTCTGAGTGGCAGCGGGAAAACTTCGCTGTCGAAGAACGTGTCTCGAGCAGCGGCGAGGGGGGCGGCTCAGCCTGGCGGACCAGCCCCGAAGACGTTCGCCACCGTCTCCCGAGCAGGAACGCCGCTGAGACGCTGGTTTCCAGGCAGGATGACGTCAACCTGCGCGACTCCGTAACCAAACCTGCCTGAACGATGCTCGACCATCAACTGCTCGTATATATCTGCAAGACAAGTGGCAGGCACTGCCCGGGTCCGGTATCGCTCCTGCCCGCCGGGGGTGGTAAACTGCATAAAATCGCCGTCGAGCGACGCCTGAAGGAGCAACGTTGGCATCAGGTGAGCTACGTAAGTCAGTCCAGCGACCAACGCCGGAAGGTCACACTGGCCAGCATCATTGGCGCCGCAGGCCACGGCTGTGCCGTCGCTCCTGAGCAGGACTGTGTGTCTACCTACTGCGGCGACCTGCACGTAGGTCAGGCCCATCACCAGCGCTGGAAGGTCACACTGGCCAGCATCATTGGTGCCGCAGGCCACGGCTGTGCCGTCGCTCCTGAGCAGGACTGTGTGGCCAACTCCTGCGGCGACCTGCACGTAGGTGAGGCCCGTTACCAGCGCCGGAGGATCACACTGGCCAGCAACATTGACGCCGCAGGCGGCGGCCGTGCCGTCGCTCCTGAGCAGGACTGTGTGGACTTCCCCTGCGGCGACCTGCACGTAGCTTAGGCCCGTGGCCAGCGCCGGAGAGTCACACTGGCCAAAATGATTGTCGCCGCAGGCCGCGGCCGTGCCGTCGCTCCTGAGCAGGACTGTGTGGTAATATCCTGCGGCGACCTGCACGTAGCTTAGGCCCGTGGCCAGCGCCGGAAGCTCACACTGGCCAGCAACATTGACGCCGCAGGCGGCGGCCGTGCCGTCGCTCCTGAGCAGGACCGTGTGGCCACCTCCTGCGGCGACCTGCACGTAGGTGAGGCCCGCGAGCAGCGCCGGGAGATCACACTGGCCATTAACATTGGCGCCGCATGCCACTGCCGTGCCGTCGCACCTGAGCAGGACCGTGTGGCCACCTCCTGCGGCGACCTGCACGTAGCTCCGTCCCGCGACCGACGCTGGCAGGTCGCACTGGCCAGAATCCTTGCAGCCGCATGCCACTGCCGTGCCGTCGTTCCTGAGCAGGGCCGTGTGGCCACGGCCCTGAGGCGGCAAGCCGAGGCCCCCCCCCATCGGCTCGAGGGATGCTCGGCGCGGCTCGAGCCCCGAGCGGCCGCGGGAGGGCGGCCGGGGAGGCCGCAGGGCGCGGGGGCGGGGAGGGGGAGGGGGGCGCGCCACGGCCCCGCGAGCGCGGGCGAGCCCGCGGGTGTGGAGACTGGAGCTGGCCACCCTGAGGCCGTCGTGCAAAGGGGGGAGCCGCGGGTGCTCGGGGCCAGGGGCTCGGGCCCCGCGTGTCGCTGACCGAAACCGAGAGACGGGCCGTGGGTCGCTGTCCTGGCTCCAAAGACGGACCGTGCACGGGCGGGAGCGAAAGTCCCAGAGGATCCTTTCGCGGTGCTGCGGCGAAAGCACCAGGTAGCCCTCGAATGGCAGGACCAGCCCTCTAGCGAGAGCGGTAAAGGCAAGGCAGCCGCCGCGCCGACGCAGCACTGCCACGTTCGCACGAGATCTGCGCAGCGCTTCGGCGAGGGCGGCCAGTGCGCAGCCCGCTCGCGCGCGGCCCCGCCCCTGGCGACTGGACGGGTTGAGCAAATTGCGCCGCGCCCCAGCGGGAACGCCACGCTCGGGCGAAATCTGCGCGACGCTCTGGCGAGATCTACGTTTCGCCTGCTCGCGCGCGAACCCCGTTTTCGAAGGATCGTCGGACGACAAATGCGCGCCGCGCCCAAGTGGGAGTTCAACACGCAAGACACCTGAGCGAGGCGCTGAGGCGAGAGCGGCACGTCGCATTTTCACGCGCGACGTGGGCCACGGCCCATTCCGGCCACGCGTTTCGCAACGTCGATGGCAACAAGTCTTTGTTGAGAGGGAACAGGCTTGTAGGATGACATCACCCAGATTGAGCAGCTACGTGTCTGTCGTTCTCGGGGCTAGTTGGGGATAAATACAAATATGGAAAGAGGAAAAAAAGAAGGAGAAGGAGAAGAAGGAGTCCGAGTATGAATGGCAGGAGAGGGACGAGGGGGACGACGCTAGAGACGACGCTCAAGACGACTCTAAAGACGACGCTAAAAACGACGACGACGACGACGACGACGACGACGGCGGCGGCGGCGGCGACGGCGGCGGCGGCGGCGGCGGCGGCGGCGGACACCGAAATCCGCTCGAAATCTGTATCTGGAGCCTTCACTGGGGTCCATCCTGGCCAGATCTTTCCACACTCCAGCCCGACGGTCCTGGTGGTCCCTAAGCGGGCCCCCAGGGACTGAAAATGGCGAACACCTCTTCGACAGCGGCCGCGACGGCGACGGAGGACCTTCTCCCCGCACGTTTTGCGGAGCGGACTTGCTGCACCCGTACCCGTCAGGTCCGTCGCCGGTGGCGTCCCTGCCCCAGTCGCGGCAGAGGGCCCCCTGGCAGGGAGATCCACACCACGCGCACCAGTCCGCCCCCCCACCCACCCACTCCGCCCTCTCGTCCGGCATCGAGGGGGGGGAGGAAAGGACGAAGGGGGAATGAGGCAGAGAACGACGAGGAAAACGAGAAACGAGAAAGATGAAAATGGGGGAGGAGGGAAGGCTGGGGAATTAGGAAAAGGAGGAGGGGGAGGGGGAGGAGAAGGAGGAGGAGGAGGAGGAGGAGGAGCGACACTGAACAGCACCAGCAAGGGAAGGGCGGACAAGGGAAGGAAGACGACCCGAGAAGAGAGGGCAGAGAAAACAACAAACGAGAGAATTACTCATCTGTCCATCAAGGGGAGGATGAGGAGGAGGAGCCAGTGGAGCCATACAAAGAGGAGGGCCAGCGTCAGGCAAGAGTACGTCAGAACACACAGTAGGCACTGCCGCTCCACAACCCACACGACGAGTATGATCAAAGGAAGGGCGAAGCCCCCGGGGTACACAACATCGTGGAGAGCAGCATGCCAAGTGCGAGCACGGCGCCAAGAAACAGCATCGCCAAAGCGTGCTGGTACGAGGCCCTCTCCGCTACAGGGAACAGAGAACGCATCCAGGACCAGCGAACGGCAGAGAAGCTCATAACAACGCCACAGACGAAGAGAAAGCCGTCGCACTCGGGCTGTACGTCCACGATAGAAGTGGCGATCGATTCCGAGACACGCTCTGCCGTGGAGGGCGCAGAAGCCATCGCCGATGCCACCTGGGCCATTGCGATCTGGGGCATCGCTTCGGTGATAACCCGTGTATCAAGGGCAGCTTGGGCCCCGGTGTCTGTCCGTGGCGTCGCCTCCAGAAGCCTCCGCGCCTTCCCCCCTAGCCCCCGCCAGGTGGGCTTCCCGCTTCCCGCAGCTGCCCCGCACGCTCCTCGATGAGTGCCCACTTGGCGTCCGTGGCGGTCTCCGCCACGCCAGAGATGGCGCCACGTTCGAGAGAAAGTATGCACAGTACGCCTCGTCGCGAGAGAGCTGCGCGTGGCGCGTGTGAAGGATCTACGGGCCGGAAATCTCGCGCCAGGCTCGGGGCCTGCACGTGCCAGTCGGCAGCGCTGGGCACGTCAGGCGAGGGGCATCGGAAAGGGGGCGAGAAAATTGTCAGGAGGAGGGAGGGACTCCGCCACGCTTTTTCCTGCAGCAGATTCCGCAACTTTCACCGCAGCGCTGCCCAGTCTCAGCCACGCGCAGTTCCGCCCAGTCTGTTCAGAGAGAGAGAGAGAGCGCGCGCGCGCGTTTACTGCGGTGCGCTAGCCTCAGGACCGCTCTCACCAGTTAGCCCAGTGTCAGCACCGCCGCAATTCAATGGAAGGGGGAAAGATACTTCACAATTGGTTGGAAAATGGCTGAGAGGTCGAGAGCGTACACACGTCACCCCAGAACCAGCCCCTGCGCATGTGACCCGCCTCTCACCGCCTGCACAAATCGCCCCGTCCAGTAATTCGGCATCTCCAGTTGTCGGGTCATCCTCCACATGACTATGGGTTGCTTATGTGATTGACTGGGGTACCTCCCCAAGTCCGACCTGCTGCGCGCTATGCTGTGTGCCCCTGCGGGCTAATCGTTTCGCCGATTCTCGGTGCATGTTCGTTTTCCCTGCTGGCGCGTGCAACTGAAGGGCACTGTTTGAGTATGATGTGCCAAGCTACTTCACCGAAGTCGTGTTTTACACATGGAGGCAACGGTCGGTAGAGCCATGTCTAGACACCGTCGAAAAAGAGGAAGAGGGAGAGAAGCAGACGGGCAACTGGGCGAAGACGAGGAGGAGGAGGAGGAGGAGGAGGAGGAGGAGGAGGAGGAGGAGGAGGAGGCAAGGCCCCTGAATCGTGGAACATCCCCGAGCTCCCGCCGAAACTCCCAGCGAGTGGAGCATTGCGAGCCCCCGAAGGCCTCCTCCTGATCCTTCTCGCGCCGCTCACTTGGGGGAATTCTGGAGCGCTCTGGCCAGAATCTCGAGGCGGATTCAGCCGCGGACGCGAGGGCGCCCAAAGAGGCTCCGAAAGGCCAAACATGCGTACAAGCAGCCTTCTGGCCCTCCTCCTCCTACTCTTCCTCCTCCTCCTCCTCATCCTCCTCCTCCTCCTCCCCGTCCTACTCCTCCTCCTCCTGCCTGCCTACTGGAAATATGAACTGTAATAGGCGAGACAGCAGCATTCGATGCCACGATCCCAAGCGAGTTTTCCAGGATTGGCGAATCGAGCGCACGGGCACTGTTCGCAGAATGCGACGGTTGCGATGGCATCGAAGATGGGCTCCCCTCCACGATCATGTAGGAGTGCTATAGCGGCCGCCTGCGGGGACTCCTAACTCGACCGATCGAGAAGGGTACACACGCTGAAGCGTGGGGGAAGCGGACGGGCTCTCCTGTCCTCCTTTGCGAATCGGGCCCACATCCACCCCGTGGACAGGACAGACATAACAAGATCTCGAGACCGCCTCACGACCAGACCCCGAAAAACAAGCTTGGCACGGTGAGCGCGACCTTCCGACATTCCTGCATCAGCATATTCGGACCAATCTCCAGGGATTGAAAAGCGTGGGTGAGGCAGGCACCTATCATACTCTGCAGTGCAGCAGCCAAGTGGGCAGAGGACGAGGAAGGTCCCGAGGAATATGAGGAGAAGCCATTGAAGCCACACTTGTGAGGCTGTGCGGTCCTACCGAACAGATGGATGATGGAATCAGTGGGACGCGAGTTGCGGTGACGCAGGCTTTGCTAGCGCGTAGGCGCGCGAGACATAACATCGAACCTCTTCCCTCGAAGATGATCTTCACAAATCTGTGCTATAGTGATGAAACGCCTTTGCTGACCGGAGGACTGCGCTGGATCATGTGTCCAAGGCTTGAGAGGTCCATGGCACTTGTGACCGAGATCGCAGTAAGTAGGAACATGTGGTGCAACAGCTCGGCAGCATCACATGTGCCGGCGTTTGTAGACATGAAGCGCAAACTTCGACGATGCTGTATCCACGCTCGCAGCTATCACATGGGGCCAGCCACGGAAGAGAGCACCGTCGATGATGCCCATATTGACGGCGAGATAGCGGCTCCCCACGCCTCAGGGCGAGACGGTGGCGAATGCGGCACTCAGGTGTTCGCGAAAGCGAAAGGGCTCTGCATCTCTAAGCTCCCGAGCACATCCATCTCCATACACACACGGACACGAACACACACACACACACACGAACGGAGTGCGGATGTGGTTGTTTCTCCCACTCCAGCCGATGCCACAAGAAGAAAAGCCTGTGGGACATATAAGACCATCCGAAGGACTTGCGGATCAACCCGCAACAAGCGCAGCCCGAACCGAGCAGTGGGCCGCCAGAGCCTCCCCAGGCTTGGAAAAGACGTAGGCAAAAGATCGCCAAGAGCATCAGGATAGACCCTGCAAAACTTCAGCACCTACAGAATATGGTGTCGACGAGCGACAATATGAGAGAGATGTACGACATAGCGAAGCGATACAGACAAGAGCGAGCCCATGCGAGATCCGACCCTGCAGCTTTGGGAGCTCAGATGTTATCGTTACGCAGCATCCCTCAACATCACCAGCAGTACTGTGAAGATCAGCCCCGAGGAGCACACCCGACGTTCACTGAGGCTCGCCCAATGTGCTATTAATGTCGTTGACGACGCATGGACAATGTTCCGCACGATCCAGCTCCCAGGGAGCTCCTGCTGGGAGCCCACGAGCATCTGATCTTCATGCACAACAGCCTGGCCATCATGGTCCCAATCAGCATGGAGACCTTGTACAATCGCTTCACAGGCAGCTTGCTGACACAGATGGAGACAACCGAATGAATAGCCAGCGTGCTGGAGGGGACGCCGTATCTCTCGCAGGACAGGTTCCGAGGACGTACAACGCCCGTGGGAGGACGGCGAGGGCCTCGACCCAACAGGCACCAAAGGAACTCCCTGGAGGCTGCAGCCACCACCGCGTCGGCCCCGTCCCAGCGCCATCGGCGGCCGCGGAGGCCTGGGCCCCACGCATGCCGGTCTCAATTTCCATCCAAAGCTGGGCCGGCGGCCCGGTCACCGCTCTGGAATCCACGCTGCCTGTCGCCGCTCCTCTCTTTGCGACCTTGGATTGTCGACGGCCCACCGCCTGTTCACTACAGACTGCCCCCCCCGTGCAGGTCCAGCGGCACGGCCACCGCTCTGAGGTACACATAGTCGAGCGATCTAGTCAGGGTGGTCGGTGGTCCCAGCTGCCCAGCCGTCTGATCTGTTCCGCATCTACGGGCAGAGGTTCCAGCCGACTCAGTATGCGAGCGAGGCCGCACCATACGCAAAAAGGTGGCATCTGCAGCCATCGCTCTGCAAGATGATCCGCCAGAGGCCCCCACTTCGACACGAAGACGACGGGCACGAGCAAAGAGATCCTGAAGAGCATCAAGAAGAGCAACTTATCAGACTATATGCGGTAATGAAATGAATGTGTCTGCCCGCGGTTACCCACTGACGATCTGCATCCACCTTCCTCGGCCACACGTAGGTTTTATGAGCTGGCACGCATGTGGGGTTGTCTGAGAGAGAACCCCGATGTGGCCCGGAATGCACGAGGGGCACTGGAAGTCCGACGGGCCTCCTACACCAGCTACCACCGACCTGCGAAGAAAGCAAACAATACCACCGCAGACGCAGGGAGCATCCACTGCAGCTATTCGGGCTTCACGATAGTCTCAGACCCTTCGTATAAGCACACTTCTTCACTTCTTTGCCTCAATCACGGGCGCTTGCAAAATGTATGACCCTCCGAGGGCCGTCCAGGTCCCCGAGCGAGCATGGGGCACAGCTCTTGGATACGACCAGCACCGACACGAAACGGCGTACGAGACGCTCAACAACACGGCGGCAGCTTTCGAGCGCCAAGCCGAAATCGTGGACCTCGTCGTCCACGAGTTGGCCCAGCAAAACAACAGACAACAACGGCGCGCAATGAGTCCTGTTCGCATGTAACGTTGTGACTGAGGCCATTCCGCTACATGACCTCGGAGTTGCAACAGAATGGGCTCTCAGTGCTCAAGCGGCCTTGGCAACCCCACTTCCTGACCAAATGACCACTTTCCAAAATACAACGCCTACGACAAAACTCCTGATGGCGGAAAGGGGGCGTTCACCCTGCCTGTGTCAATCCTGATGCGGCAAACCCGTTTTTCCCGCCAGGGATGCCTCACCCGATTGGCCTACTTCAGCAGGTCCGAAGGCAGATGTGGATGCGATCCAAGTAGGAGCGTCAACCATGCACCTCCCGCATTCTCAGATGACACCAGGCGACCTTTAGATGTCTACCGATATTCACGGACCGTTTCAGGCCTGGCGTAAATCGGTGGAGCCTCAGCAGCCGACTGAATGGAAGCCTTCTTGGAAAGCCAGAAAATGGAAATCTAGGTCCACTCGGAACTAGTTTCTATCAGAACTGTGGTGCACGATGTTCGAGGCCAAGGCCACGCGTCGAAGAGGCGGCGGGACCGCAATAGCTGAGCACAATCAGTCAGGCTCTATAGAATTGTAATTCTCTCGTCAGTGAGTCTACACCGCTGATCATTGGCTGGAATGGTCTGAGAGTTCATAGTTTCGTGCAGGGGTGAACTGTATGGGCTGAAGTGTCCCCGCGCACAATCTCTCGGGCTTCCGTCATGCCATCCAGGCAACCGAACCAATTCTACCCCTGCCGTCTCAAGCACGAAACCGCAGGTTACTTCCCCGCAGTACTTCGTCTTCTCTCGGCGAAGGCGCGCCCGAAGCTCGGAAGTGGAGATCGGGCGCGCTGCTCAACTTCCAGTCCACCCTTCTCCCTCGTTGCAGTCGTGCATTGTCGTCTGTCGTCCCTCCCCAATCCCCCTCCCCTCGGTAGCAAATTATGCCTTCGCACGTGGGAGATGGGCACGCCACAGGTCTGCGCAGCCCCGCAGCGCTCCAGGTTGGCAACTCTCAGCCCCTGCGCACGTGGCACCTCTACGCATCTTGGCCCGCGGGAGTTCCCCAGGCAGGCCTTGGCACAACAGGGTTGAGGGCCCGCTGCCCATGCACCACGCAGGGGCAACGAAGCGCTACAATAAGGTGCTTGGCTCGAACATCCGCTTCCCAGCGCTGGTCCTATCCTATCCTATCCCCGTCTTCTTCCTCCACCGTCCGTTTTCCTTATAAACAACTCCTCCCTGTCGCACCCCCAGACGTGTCAGCAGGGCAGGCTGGGTGCTTCGCCTGAGACGTTCTCAATGCGTATGGCCTTGGAGCCAGAACGTGCAACAGCTCCAAAGATGGAAGAATGGTCGTTTTCAACATGGGGCCCTCGCCCTGGCGCATCGTACATACGTCTTACAATCTTGCAGCTGCAACCATGGTGGCTTGGCCGTCTTCAACATGGGGATCTCGCATTAGCTCCGCGCACATTCGTCTTGATCGTTCGCGACATCTTTCATGATGGCGGAGGTATCGCTTTCAAGCTGGTGGATATCGCCCCGACGCCGCGCACACTCGTCTTAAACACTCGCGACAGTTATAGGGATAGACGAAGTAGGCGGTCTTCAAAACAGCCATGCGCTCTCGGCCCAAACATCCGCGAGGATGGCAAATACTGAGAATGGTACCTTTTCGGAATGGGGATCTCACTTCATGCTTGCGCCAGTAAGGGTATGCAGGGCGGCTCGTCTTCAAGGTGTGGGTCTCGCTTCCGCGTTCCTTCAGCTTACTGACCAGACGGTCGAACCTCCGCAGCAACTGCGCGGATAGAGGGTGGCTCGTTTTCCAAATGGGGCTTTCGCTGTAGGGTTCCTCCCAGTCAGTGAGCAAACGTGTGAACGTGTGTAACAAATACACCAATTGGGGGCGTTGCCTTTTCAACACGAGGCCTTCTCTCTATGCTCAACATCATTGAATATCACGACCCTGCAAGTTCGAACGTCTTGCACCTCATCAGGCGGCTGCAATTCAGCTCCTGTCCAACACGGGGCTGTCGCCTGAATGGCAGGCCCCCGAGGTGCCCGGCGTCCAAGGAGCGCTCTGTTCTGGTGTGGCGGAAGGAAGCCTTGTAGGGACTTGAGCGGATGGAGCGTGGCACGGGAGATTCCGTTGCAGCATCGTTGACGCAGCCTGGGTTTCCCTGGTCTTCGTCCTCCTCCTCCTCTCCACCCTTGGGCCAGCCCGCCTGCGCCAGCCGTTTCGAGGAGCCCATGAAGTGGATGACCTCCAGCTCGGGGTCGCGGAGTCCCAGGCCCCGCATCTCAGCATCGCCCCACGGCCGCGCCGCCACTCCGAGGACCACGGGCTGAACAGTGCAAAGCAAAGCAATGCAGCGCAAAGCAAATCGAAGCAAGAAGTGGCACGACCAAGTGGAAAGCCGTGGGCATGAAGCAATGCGCAGCAGTGCCAAACAATGCGTAGCAATGCAAAGCAGCGCGTGGAAATAATTCGCCGGCCCAACGGGCCAGAGGCGTGCTAAGATCTCCGGTAACTGCTGAATAATACTTCTACTTCGCGCGCGCGGGGCGGCCCCTGGGGGTCCCCGGACGAAAAGTACCCGGGCGATCCCCGGCAGACTCGGGTCAGAGATGGTTTTCCTCCTGGGCGCCGCCCCCGTGGCCCTCCAGAGAGCCCCAAGAAGGGCCACGAGGCCGCCAAGAGCCCTCCAAGATGGTTCAAGAGTGCTCCGAGATGCCACACGATCGTTCCAAGACGCCCAAGATGGCCCCCAGACGCCCCAAGAGGCCTCCAAGAGCACTCCCCAGAGGGCCCCAAGAGGCAAAATTCATTACTTTTCCTTAGGTTTTGGGCAGATTTTGGCGTGTCCATCTTTTCGGCTTCCCGGCGCCCCAAGACGGCCCAAGAGGCCCCCAAGATCGCCCCAAGAGGGCCCAAGAAGCTCCCAAGAAGGCCCCAAGATGGCCCCAGAGGGCTCCAAGACGGCCCAAGAGGGGCCCAAGAGGGCCCCAAGCGATGCCCCAAAGGGGGAACACAAAACAAAACTTCGAGCCCTCGGCCTTAAGAAGCCCCCAGGAGGCCTCAAGAGGCACCTGAGAGGCCCCCAAAGCGGCCCTCAGGAGGCCCCCAAGCGACGCTGAAGAGGCCCCCCAGCGGCCCCAAGAGGCTCAGTCATGCGAAATGGGCCGGCGGAATGAGCGAAGCGATTCAATGCAATGCAAAGCGATGCAAAGCAGTTCGGCACGAGAAACCTCGGGGGAAAACCCAGGTAGCATCCCAAGGGTCTCTTGCGGGAGGTGACCGCACTCGACTCGACTGAACAGTCTGGGGGATTATCCGAGCAAGCCCCAGGGGACCCAGTGGCAAGGATGAGCCCGTGCCACCAGTCCTCGTCCTCGACCCCTTACTTAAAATGAATGAATACGTATCCCATGTCTCGCCTGTCACAATGCCTTCGTGGCCTCACCTCTCCCGCGTGCTGCCTTTTGCTCTCACACAGGATGTCGTTGTGTCACACGCGCTTCTCCCATCGGAACGCTTTTCCCCAAACAGCTCTTGTGCACTTAAGAACTCTCACTTGGCTTTACAGAAATTAGGCTCGTCAGCCGCCCTGGCCAGCTTGTTCTCGCCACATCGCCGCCCGTCGCCGCCTCGTCGCCGCACGTCGCCGACGCCTCGTCGCCATCTTGCATTACAATCGCACTGCACTGCACTGCAATCGCATACAATTAAAATTGCATTGCAATCAGATTGCCGCGCATGGCAATCACATTGCATTGCTTTGCATTGCTTTGCGCTGCTTGGCATTGCAACGCAGTGCTTCGCAGTGCTTCGTATTGCGCCGCATCGCGTTTCATTTCTTTGCGTAGCGCTGCGTTGCGTTACGTTACGCTACTTGGTGCGTGGCTGTTTGCGTTGCTTCGCGTTGCAATCGCATTGCGTTGCTTTGCGTTGCTCTGCATGGCTTTGCGTTGCTTTGAACTGCATGCCGTTGCATTGCACTGCTTTGCATCGCTGTAAATGTGTCCAACAAGTGTTTGCCCCTACCGGATCTCCATCCAAATATGCTTCAAATAAGTGGGCTCGTGTGCCGCCCTTGCCGGCTTGTCATCGCCCCGTCGCCGCACCGTCGCCGCCCGTCGCCGCCTCGTCGCGGGCTCGTACGCCGCCCTGGCCAGCTCGTGGTCGCCCCGTCGCTGCCCCGTCGCTGCCCCGCCACCGCTCGTCACCACTCGTCGCCGCCCGTCGCCGCCGCCACGTTGCACCCCCCGCGTTACATTTCGTTGCATTTCTTGGAACTGCAATGCATTGCACCAGAAGTATTGCTCCATATCTCCTGCACCGCATAGCGCGAACCGCATAGGTTCGCCTGTCTAAAAAGAGAATAGGTTCTACCACCCTGCCCCCCGGACTTAACCATCCACCTTTCCGTATTTCACGTTACATACGATTCTGCCCCATCGTCCATCCAAACTATGAACCGCCGTCCTCTGCAAAAAACTACTATGCGCGCGCACTCGTTTACAAGAATCATAAGTTGTCAAGAATCCCTTGCAAACAAGTGGACGAAGTGCACGCGCCCGCGTGGTCGCGCACGCATGCCGTAATCCTTCGAAAACTCTTGGTTTCGGAAAAAAACAAAATCGAGTTTCCAAAAAAACTATACAAAAACGAAAGGTTTCGCAACACTTATTTTTTCAAAAACGCTCACGCGCGCGCTCCTGCGAAATCTTAAGGAAACCATAGGTTTTCCAAGATGTTCAAACAAAATGCTACCAAACGGGCTTCGCGCGCGCATGTCGAAATCGTTCGAACGCCCTTGCGAGCGTATGCCGGAATCCTTCAAAAAACCTTCGGTGTCGGAGGGATTTCAAAATCGAGTGTCCTAAAAACATACAAACACACAAGGTTTCGCAACACGGATTTTCAACAAAAGCGTGCGCGCGCGCTCTTGCGTCGTCGTCGTCGCCGTCCTCCCTCCTCCCTCGTCGTCGTCGTCGCCGTCACCGTCGTCCTCTGTCTTTCCTCGACCTCGTCGTCGTCCTCCTCTTTGGCGTCGTCGTCGTTTCCGTCGTCGTTGTCGCCGTGGTCGTCCTTCCTCCCCCTTCGTCGTCGTCGTCGTCGTCCGTCGTCGGCGTCTCGTCGTCGTCCCTCCTGTTTCGTCGCCGTCGTCGTCGTCGTCGTCGTCGTCGTCGTCGTCGTCTTCCCTCCTCCCTCGTCGATGTCGTCGTCGGCGTCGCCGTCCTCCCTCCATTTTCGTCGTTCGAGTCGTCGCCGTCCTCCCTCCTCTCTCGTCATTGTTGTCGTTGTCGCCGCCGTCGTCCTCCCTCCTACCTCGTCGTCGTCGATTTCGTTGGCGACTTCGTCGTCGTCGTCTTCGTCGTCGTCGTCGGCGTCGTCGTCGGCGTCGTCGTCGTCGTCGTCGGTGTCGGCGTCGGCGTCGGCGTCGTCGGCGTCGGCGTCGTCGTCGTCGGTGTCGGCGTCGGCGTCGTCGTCGTTGTCGTCGTCGCCGAAGTCGTTGGAGACGTCGTCGGTGTCGTCGTAAGCGTTGTTAGCGGCTTCGTCGTCGTCGTCGTTGTCGCTGTCGTCATCGGCGTCGGTGTCGTTGCCAAGTGCCGTCTGTTATATACCGTCACGGTCTTAGGAGGTGTTGCGACCAAGTTGCGGGTGGGAGGGTGGGATGTTTGCACGAGCAGCGGAGAGGACAGCTTCAAGTTGAGCAAATGACTGTTTGCACCACATAGACTGCATCGCATAAACGTCTCGTAACACATGTTGCAACACACCGCTTGCACCACAAAGCTTACATCACAGACTTTGCACCGTAGAGTTCTGAACATATCTTGCACCACGTAGATGGTGCCACATAGTTTCACCACAAATGCCTTCCGTACCAAACGGAAGCTCGGATCTACCACCCACGCCCGCCCGGCGCTAACCCCCTCATGGGGTAGAGCAATGCAAAAGGATTCTGCCACATCGTTCATTTTAGCCACGAGTTCAAACCATCGCAGCTGGACCCCGTATCGCCCGCCACCCCCTCATTTCTGCCAAATACAACGATGCGCGCACTCTCGTTCATTACAAATTGTTACTTGTCTTAACACCCCTAGCAACACATGGCGCGAAGTCCACACGCGCACGTAGTTGCGCGCGCAAGCCGAAATTTTTTGGGGAAAAAAGTAAAACTGTTCTGCATGTTCAGCAAATGCGACGAAGTGGCCCGCTCACGCGCGCATGTCAAGATCCGTCGAACGCCCATGTGCGTTTGCTGAAGGGGGAACGGCCCTGCCACAAAATATCATGCAGGCCACTCACCCCAGTCGGCCGCGCGCGCATGCCGACATCCTCCCAAAACCTTCATCACCGACGCGTGGGCACCATCATCGCCATCGACGCAATCACCATCGACGCCGTCATTGGCCTCGCCGCCATCATCGCCACCATCGCCACCATCATCGCTACTATCGCCATCGTGTTTACCATTGTCGACGTCTTCATGAAACTGCCTCCGCCCGAGTCATCGCACTGACGTGCCCAGTCGCCAGCGCGGCCTGCGAGACGCGCTAGGAAGTCCCCAGGTGTCAGCGCCACCACGGCCGCGTCGGTCGCGCCGAACTGGCTGGCCGTTGCGCGCGCGAGTCTGCGAGATAGCGCGGCTACAGCGATGCGCCAGCGAGCGCCGAGCAGTCATCGCAATCGCCGCCGCATCGGTTTTGAAAACCAATGTGTGGGTGGGTGGGTGCGTGGGTGGGCGGGATGCTTGCGCCAGCAGTGGAGTTGACAACTCATAGGTAAGTAATCGTGAAATTTTCCATGTATGCAAAGAGCATTAGGATGCCCGCCCCCCCCCCCGGGAAGGTGGGTGGGATGTTTGCAGGGGCGTGGAATGTGTCAACCCATTTGTAAAAATGAATTGCACCACGTAGTTCGCACCACATAGTAGATTGCACCAGATAACTTGCACGCTGTGGGGGGTCCACGCTGGCAAGAATGTTTTTCCGAAATGGTGCTCCCGCTGCCGCGACGTTCTCGCCCCAGCGCGGGCAACATTTCGGGATCCGAATCCTTCCTCGTCGTTGTCGCCCCCTCCTTCCCCCTCCGCCTGCCCGTGGTCATCCTGCTCCTCCCGTTCGCTACTTGTGCTGCTCCTCGTCCTTTCTCGGCATCCTCGTCCTCCTGCTCATCCGCCACCTCCTGCCCCCCCTCCCCTCCTCCAACGCACACGGCTCACATCTCTGATTGCGCAGTACACCATGGGGTCACTTCGGGGATCCAGCTTCGCTAGGACACCCGTCGGCGGGTGAAGGCAAATCAGCGCGATAGGAAGGGATGGGCGAGAGGGGCAGAATGTCAGAGATGGCGCGAGCGCACCTAGGTTGCCCTCCCCACCTCTCCTTTTCGACAGTTCCTCCACATGGATACTACGCTCCTCTCTCCCCCGACCACGTCCTGGAAGTGGTCCCGCCCTCTCCGTGTCCTGTGTTTGTTGTCCACCCTGCCCGTCGGAGCGGCGGGGCCTCCGCGGGCATCGCTCGCGCCCTCCCTGCCGCACTGCTGCAGGACGCAGCCGCCGCGGTTGTAGCGGCGGCCGCTGGCGACCCGCGTGCGGTTGCGGAAGGCCGCGCTGTATCTCCACAGGCCGTTCAGGCACAGCTGCTCGTTGAACTCGCAGTTCAGCGAGTGGCCAAGGCTCCGCGCCTCGGCGGCAAGCAGAAGCTAGCGCCGAATGTCTGAGGGGGCAGTTTTGTCTGTCCACCCCCTCGATGTGCTGATTTGCCGTTCTGAGCCCCGGCGCTAGCTCTGACGCGCCGCGCGACCGCCGACGCCGCGACAAAACAGAGTTCGGGGGGCATTCTCTCACCCCTCCAGGCACCGGCCAGGCTGCCGGTCGAGGTAATCCGAGGCCCGAGGCCCTGCAGGGCTCTCCCATGGAGGCCGAAGGCTGCAACCACTGCTGGTCAAGAGGAGGTCCCGCATGGATTCTGCACGACAGGGAAAGGGGGACAGGGCAAGGGGTGGCGCTTTCTGAAAAAGCCGAGGAGGGGGCTTCGGGGAAGGTGCGGCCCCCACGAGATCCTGTCCGAGGCGCCTCCCTCGTCGGCGCTGACCGCTGGCCTCTGGAAAGGGGCCGTCGTGGAAGGCCGGCCCCTCTGACACCGCTGCACCCATTGCGCGCCGCCGCCGGGCGCCTCTGGGAGGTAGCCGTGCCAGTGGGCGTCCAGGATGTCCTCGACCGCCCCCTCCCATCCTCCTCTTGCTGCCCGTCCTTCTGCGCGACAGTCCTGCTACACTACTCTGGTCACCCCTCCTCGAGGAGGGCGAGGACCCAGACCCCCGAAGTCCCACTTCTGTTCGACGTGGGCTCCAGAGAACTCGAACGCTTTCCCCTGGCCGGTTTTTCATCCAGAGCTGCCTTTGGACAGTCCTGGGGCCCCGTCAAGGCCCCCAGAAGCCGAAGACTGCCCCAAACCCTTCCATCGTGATTTCTTCACGACGCGAACGGGTACGGATCCTCGAGGAGGATGGCGGGGGTGGGACCAGGGGGGATGGGGCGAGGAGGAGAAGAACTACGGGAGAGGGAAGAAGGGAGGGGGAGGAGGACCAGAGTAAACCCAGGATGCGTTGAAGAAGCTGCAACACACCATCCCGTCCCAAGTCCCTCCTGCCCCCCCTTGAACGGCGGCGAGCGCCCAGTGGGCTTACCACTCAGGCGAGAGCCGCGTGATGTAAAGGATCAATCAGCCACCTTCTAGCTACAAGAAACACAAAACAACACGAACGATCATGAGTAAGAATGTCCCCGCTTTGGCCATGACCTGCCTCCCATCCATGTAGGGATCTCGTAACTCCCCAATGTACGGTCATGAAATGTGCGGTACCCTCATACAATAACCCAAGTATAAAAAAAAAGAGCCGCCATCCGTCCGTGCCACTGTTACACAATGTGGAATCCGGGGTCGAAGAACTTGATTGGGCCTCACGCGAGAGCCGCACTGAGAAAACGAAATTGCCTGCATCGCCGTAGCTGTTGGAAGCTTTCAAAACGAACGTGTGCGGCGCTGAAGCGAGAACCACATTTTCTTACCACTGGCCCTCCATCCTGGCAGCGGCTGCAAACTTGTAATTTACATCGAGTGTAAGCAGCGCTGAAGCGAGAACCATATTTTGCAAACCACAGGCCCCCCCCAACGTGTATTTGCTGGAACTGTTTAGCGTCAAGATAGTAATACGTAAAGAAAGTTCAAGCCTATGGACACGTGTCTTTATTCGACAGGGGGACGATATTCAAGGGAAGTGGAATGCAAGAGGACAAGGAGGAGGGCGTCGAATCGATGCCAATTGTGCTTCAAGGAAGCCCTGGAAGCGCTAGACTAGGCCACACTCGCGACTCACAAAACACATGGGCAGCCGCGGGTGTATGCAAGGTCAGCCTCGCCTGACAACTCACGGCCCTGCCAAACCCACACCTCCTCAATCCGCAGCCTGCCATAGTTCACCGGCCACCTGCGCTACAGAAAGAGAAGGAGAAAGATGAGGAGGACGTGACGAGCCAGGCGCGCCTCCCAATGGGCCCCGGAAGCTACCCTGCAAACGCGAGACCTGGCCCCCTGCAAGAAGGCACGCGCGCTGGGCACCTGCTCCACTGCCAAAACCCCACTTGGGACGACAAGCCTGCCTTTTCCCTTGGCCACACCGCGCCCAAACTGGGCGCACCAGACCGAGACCTAGGAGGCAAGGGAAGCGCGGTTCGGGGGTTTTGAATTCGTGCTGCTCTAAGGAACTGTAGCCCAACGGTGGCACATGGATGAGGGCCCTAATACTGGACGCAAAGCTGCCAGCGGCGCGGAGTGGTCCATGTGGCCGAGGAGGAGGAGGAATAATGCGATTTACGGGCTGCTCAGCCACCCAATGCCCGCCACATCTTCCTTTGCTCTTCGTACTTGTTTTGTCTGCGCGGCTGCTTCTGTTGATGTTGCATGTTGCACTCGTTGCCACACCTTTTGCACAATCTGACCATAGGTTTTAAGTCTGACCACCGGCAAAAACGAGGAGGAGGAGGAGGAGGAGGAGGAGGAGCAGCAGGAGGCGGAGGAAGAGGAGGAGGACCCTGACCCCCGACGTCACGACTTGCTTCGCAACGTCGGCCCTGGAGGTCTGGGCATCTTCCCCAGGACGGGCTCTTCATCCCAGATCGCTTGTTGACGGCCCCAGGGACCAGATTCAATCGCCCTCAGAAACCGAACACGGCCAACAGCCCTCCTGCCGCGTCTCTCTCACGACGGCAATGGGATCCACGGGAGGGGGCGCCACTCCGCCATCAGAGCCCTGAATCTTCGGGCGGCTGGAGGGCCCTGCCTTGAAGCACCCGCCGCAGGACGGCTCATGAAGCCGCCAGTCCGCGGGCACGGCCGCAGGCGAGAACACTCAGACGGGGCCGAACGGAGGAAGATGATGAGGAGGAGCTAGCGTCCCTGGCGATGGTCTGTCCCCGCCGAAGGACGCCGCGGGCGCGCCTGCGCCGAGCCTGTCAGGCTCGCGCTGAAGAAGTCCAGGGGACCGCTGGCGACGGTGGGGAGGTCGACCAGGCCGTCGGCATGATTGTCGAGATGGTCGGAGCAGCTCGGGACGAGGGCGGGATGGGCGTCCCCGACGGACGCGTGGTCCGAGATGGCGACGTCGTCGCAACTCATCATGATCCCATCTCCTTCGCCGACGACGCTGTCATCAGGGTCGAAGTCGGGGAAGGCCGCAGAAAGAGAAGCGTCGTCGTCCTCGCCAATCGCCACCGGCGTCACGGGGTCAAAGGGCGCGTGGTCTGGGAAGGCACCATCGCCAGCCGCGGAGGTATCAGCAAGGCCTTCCGCAGGAAGACTTAGAACGCCCGTCTGGAGCGAGGCGCCATCACGCGCCTGGCCGTCGGGCGCAGGGTCGCCGTCGCCCCCCGAGCCGCGCAACATCGCGTCATCGACCGCGCAGAGCTCGAGGGAGACAGGGGCATCAACCGAAAGCTTCTGGACACTAGGGTCAGGGAGGAGCACTCGCTCCGCACCAGGTGGCAACTCATCATGTGCATCCAGGAGGCACGCAGGGCGGCGCAGCATCCATCGAACCATCCCTCTCTTGTCCGCAGGGAACACGGGGGCAAGATGTCCAGGGAACGCATCGCACACTCGGTCTGTTGCTGGGAGATCTCTTCATGATGTGGAGGAGCCCCAGCGGATGCTGGTGTCAACGCGTGCGCCGCCACCGGGGTTGTCGCGGAAGATGCCGTCGGGATCGGGCGCGGATCAATGCCTTGAGCAAGGGCCTCGAGTGCAAGTTTCAGGGCGAGCGAGGTGTGCGGCATCAATCCTGACAGCACGTCAAAGGCCGCATGTTCCTTCGCCGACAGAAGGTCATTAGACGCGCTTGGTTGAGTACAAGGAGCAGGGCCGCGGTGCGGCGGTACGCCCACCGCATTACCAACCTCTCCACCAAGTCCCCCATGAGTGTCGGTCATTCCTCCTCAACTTCACGATCATCAGTAGCTTGAGGAAGTGTCTCAGGGTGCGTGATTAGCCCAGCAACGCTCCAGCAACGCTCTCGCGGTGGTAGGTGGGTAGCGGATGATTCGCAACTTGGTGGTCGACGACGGATCCCCTCACAGGAACGGCGTTGGCGTCCAAGTCGTCCGGGGAGTCGCTGTCGAGGACGGCGCCATCGTCGTGGTTCTCGCAGGGGATGTAGACGGGGAAAGTCGCGGGCAGGCTGCCGCCGTCGTAAGTCAGATTAGCCAGAGACTCGACGTTGTCATTGGAGGGGCACGCCTCCAGTGAATGCACCATCTCCATGAAGGACGGGCCAGCGAGGTCAGAACCGGAGGGAACTATAGCCAGCTCGTCAGCAGGCTCGTCAAGGGGGATGTCCGCCTCTTCTTCAGGGGTGCACTCTCCGTCATGCATCTCCATGTCGTAGAGCGTCTGCAAGTAGGTCGGGTCCTCGATGTCGGACTGGGCGCCGCTGATGTTTTGGGCAGGGCCGCCGGCAGCAGGGTGGGAAGACGCGACAGAGGCAGGCAGACCCGACATCCATGGTCCAGCGTTAGCAGCCGCGAGATCCAGCACAACGCCACGCCCAGCAGCAGGGTCAGCAGGTTGCAGAGGTCCAGGAGGTTGCTCTTCGGGGAGCGCAGATCTATCATGAAGAAGAGGCCGACCAGCACGCGGAGTGACAGGCGGGCGATGTCCATGGGGCCGCTCTTCAGGAGGGTCAAACCTATCAGGCGGGGGAGGCTGAACATAACGAGGAGGGGCTGGCTGAGGAAGCGGACCAGAAGGATAACAGGCTGGCAGCGCAGCGGGCGGAGCTGGGCTGGCGCTTCCAGAAGCAGGAAATGCAGCCGCAGCGGACGACGACACAGGGTTCATCCAAGCAGGAGCATCCGCGCCAGCGCCAGGAGGTGGCGGCCCCGATGAGCTGCCAGAAGGCCACGCTGGGTAGCTCCTCGCCGACGACATAAGCTGAACCTGCCCATCTTCAGGCGGCCTCGGCTCGTCACCAAAAAGGTACTCGAACTCATCGTCGCTCATGAAATCGCTGTCGCAAGGCGGCGGGGGGCCAGCGCCAAAGGCCTCTTCTTGGTCATTCATCTCGTCCAAGAGGCGAAGGTCCTCGTCCGTGGGTGAAGGGTATTCTGGTGGCCTCGGGGCCTCGCTTTCGTTGGCCGCGTAGACTTCGGGGTCGCCAGACGAAGGGATCGATCGGAATTTTGGATGGTGCGGATCCACATCCATGATCTCCATCGTGATTTTGTGGAACCAGATTAGCGGGTTCGGCGCCGGCGGGGAACGCGGCCTCGGCGTCGCCTATCGTGGCCCATCTTCAGCGGCAATTGTTTCCCAACCCTCCTGCGTTGGGTTCTCGTTTTGAATAGAGCACTGCTCGCGCGTCGCCTTCCTCGCTTCCTTCCTTCCTTCCTTCCCGCCCCCTCCCGCCCCTCTCTTCCCCCTTGCCTTTCGCCTCGCTCGTCGCTGCGTGCCAGCTGGGGGGCTGCGATCTGTGAAACTGTCGCCACTTTCGAAGGCTGTTGGGGGCCCAGCACAGTGTGCACTCGCGGCGGATTCAAATGGGACCTCGCCATCCCTGGGGGGCTGCGCTCTGTGAAGCTGTCGCCACTTTCGAGGGCTGCTGGGGGGCCCAGCACAGTGTGCACTCGCGGCGGATTCAAATGTGACCTCGCCATCCCTGG